GACAGCACTCTGTGATCTCTCTGAAGATGCCGGCCACAGAGACTGGCAAAACGTTAGGAAGAACAACCTTCAGAACATGGCCAAAGAGCCCGAAAAACCCACAACAACCATCAGAAAAACTTGTTTAAGAACCCTTGCCAGAATGCCTTGTCCCATTCGTCCACCATTGTATAGTGGTTATAGTACTGGGCGGGGTTGGAGATCCACATTCTAGTTCCCACGGATCCAGGAAACTGACTGGTTGACTCCAGCCCTCTCTCTCAATCTGACCCCCACTTCACAGGCTTGTTATAAGGATAAAGTGTGGAGGACAGGGGCCATATGAGCTCCCTTGAGCTCAGTAAAGGAAATTCAGAATACAAATAGCTCACCACTGCCACCAGGAATGTTCCTATACTGAACACAAGGATCTGAAACTGTTCCATCATTTCTAAATTCCAAATAGTGGAGATTCAATATTATGCACTGCAGCTATGTTAAGTAAACTTCCTAACTTTCCAGTATGCTCTGACAACAGTCTGCAGGTGCACAGCTGACACGCAGGTGCTGGCTCATAACGTTGAACTTCTTATTTTTATTAGGTCTTAACCACAGAAAGCTGAACTGATTTCAATGGTATCACAACCCCTCTGAAGAATCCAAAAGGAGAACACTTTCACTCTGTGTAAATAGTTTCCTGCCATGAATGGGAAATTTGTGGATCTTAAAGAGCTGTGAGGAAACAGTTAAAAGAGGAAGAAGCAGCCAAGTTAATATAGACTCAAAAGGCCATTCAGTTGCTCCTCATTAGTCCCACAGCTCTATCTTTTATTATGGAAAGCACAGAAACCATACGCAAGCTCATTTATTCTTTGGATTCAAGTATGGAGTCTGGAATTGTTAAATGAAAGGTAACTGAAAACGAAACACACCTTAGGTGATAGACCACAGCATAATTTTTGTTCACGAAAATGTTAATATCCCTGATGGACTAATTAGTGATTGGAAATTATTTTCAATAATC